TCGTGTGCACAAGCATGACTGTGCATGGAGCAGTGTTGTCTACAGTATTGTGGAAATTGTAGAATAGTATCGTGTGGATCAGTTTAAGGCATTGTCTTGTTTCTCATGTACAGAGCCAGCTGTGTACAAACACCACATTTTAGAGGACATCTTGCAGACCATAAGGACTTATTAACAGAATTTCTCAAAAACTGTGTTGGGTGAGAATCACTGACTCAACCGTCACTGTCTCAGGGAAATGACTTCTGGATTCAGCCATTGCTCATTCACTGACCGTAACTCTAAGAGTGTCACAGTTCTTACATACATAACAAATAAGGCACAAGTTAAGCTGTAGAGAAGAAGTTGTGAATAAAAGGTCACATATACTTGTACAGACCCTGTATATCGTGGCAGCCTTGAGTGTCCTATGACTCCTATAACTCCATTTTTTAAATGATGGAATCCCTGAATCACAAAACAACAGTTGTGCATTTTGGTTCTTTTATTGATTTATTTGAGGTCTTCCTAAAATCTGCAGAGTTAAAAATAGACATACAGCAATGCCAGTATTTGGTTAAACATGTCCTGGTCATTTTCACCTCTACCTGCTTTTGGTGGCCGTCCACAAGCTTCAGCAAGTTTGTTGTTCGTATCTTTGTCCTCGCTGGCTTTCTGACACAGACTTGTTTCTTCGTCACAGTCCACAGGTTCTTGATGGGGTTTAAGTCAAGGCTTTAGGAAAACCAGTCTAAAACCTTAGTTGTAGCCTGATTTCACCACTTCTATACCATGTTTGATGTGTGTTTTAGGTCATTGTGTTGTTGGAACACCCAACCTTCTGGCTGATGATTCTAAGTTTTCTTTCTTCGTTATTTCGTTCATTTTGTGTAATGAGCAGCTCCACTGGCAGCCACAGCGATACCATTACCAAGCCTGACAGCAGTCGTGGTGTTCCTGGTGTCTCCTCTAAACATATTCTTGGTCATTGTTTCCAAATTGCTCAATTTTTGTGTCATCTGGCCACAGAGCTCTCCTCCAGAATGCCTGTTCTTTGTCTGTGTAATCAGCAGTGAACGTCAGTGGAGCCCTGAAGTGCTGCTTCTGGACGAAGGACTTCCTTTTTGCATGACTTGCTTGTCTCTCAGCCCTTGGCAATGCAGAACATGCTTAACTGTGGGCACTGATAACTGTGTTCCAGCAGCTCCTAATTCATAGCAGAACTGCTTTCAGGTGATTCTTGGATGACTCCTGATCATCCTGACCAGTCGTCTCTCAGCTTGTGTTTTCTTCCTGATCGTAGCAGTGGCAAAACTGTGCCATGCACTTTATACTGAGAAACAATTAACAACAACAACAATCGGGCTTTTCTAGGCGCTCAAAGACTCAAAAGACACAACCACCATGACACAGGTTGGAATCGAACCGCCGACCCTCCGATCACTGGCCGACTCGTATGATGTGATAGGTACGATGTGGTGTGCTGTTTCCTGTCCTGCATGTTTTCTGGGCTTTTCAGCTTCTGCTTGAAGGACAGAAACGTTTTTCTCTTAGTGTGTGTGTGTGTGTGTGTGTGTGTGTGTGTGTGTGCGCACTATGCTAAGATAATATCTAACATTGCTGTCTTAGTGTCACCATCAGCGTTTTTGTTTCACTCCGTTCTGCTGCCGTTCTTATCGCCGTGACATTTGCACAAGTCGTGCATGTGAGCTGATGGAGCAAAACACTGAGCTGTGACACACGAGCATCGTTCTGAGGAAGATTATAGGGCAGGAAACAGTCACAGTGGGACTGAGTCGTTTAGCAATTATTTCTTATCTTTGCCTCTTGTGATGTCTGTCAATGAAGATAGTTTGGGTTGGATCTGATATGAATACAGCAGAATGTGTTGTCAACAACAGTTAATTCAGAAGAAATATAATTCCAAAGAAAACTGCTCTCCTCTGTTTCTACAAAGTGATGTTATTTTTTAAAAATAGACTTAATTCAATCCCCGTTTTCATCCTGGGTTGAAAGTAGAATTCTCAGAAATGACCCACAAAAAATTTAAAACTATCTGACTTTGAACTGATATGCCTTCCACATTTTCAAATTGCTGAATTCGTAGCTTTCTATGATGGCAAACTGTTTACGTGTGTCTTTACTTATTAATGATCAAGTTTCCTTTTTGTTGTTGTTGTTTTTTTTTAATAGAATAAATACAATAGAAACACTTTATTTATCCCAGACCTGGGAAATTACTTCAATACCGCAGCGAAAAAGAAAAACACTCAATCACAACAAGAAAAGGATAAAATTAAATACCACTAAAAAATAAACTAACTGTACAAAACAAGCGTGTTACAGAACAGAGAGCTGCTCTCTGCCAGGCAGAGTACAGTCATTTTAAATTATATATCTGATTTATTTTCCAGAACAAACAACTGCAGAGCATGCCATTATTTATACACACTAGTGCCAGAACGGCATCGTTATAAGTTCACCCAGATGTTGAGCATCAGCCTGAGCGTCCTCCCCCGCTGTCATAATGAATCCTTATTATTCCTTTTTTCAACAATAAGACCTGGACTGTGCTTCTCCTTCTTCTGGCATAGTGGTGTGATGTCCGTTTGGTTGTTAGGAGTCATTTTCAGGAATATGTTCATAAAAATTGATTGATATTGATAAAAATTCTGAAGCATAATACCGGCATCCACCTTCAGAATCACACGCCGTGACTTCCTGCAGCTGATCTGGAAGCCAGCACAGAGCGTGACATGTGTGTGTTTGTTTTTGTGTGTTTTGGAGGCTGAGGGGAGGGAGGGGGAGGATGGACGGAGGGAGAGGGGAGGGCTGATTCTTTTCAGCCTGCGCCCTAATGGATGCTGCGCCATTAGTAAGCCATCCACGCTAGCAGGCAGGCGATCGGTCGACCGGCACAAACCCCCCTGCAGGAACCCCACTGATGTCAGCCTGGAAACAGAGAGAGAGAG